AGTTTCTCCTCATGCCTACACTCCCCCTGAGGAGAAACAGGAAAGAAGGGCTCATCTTCAAAGAAGGTAACATCCATGGAGACATAGAATCTCCGAGAAACAGGATCAAAGCAACGATACCCTTTCTGAGAGAATGAGTAGCCAAGAAATATGCATAGGATAGCACGAGAGTCCAATTTCCCCCTGGTGGAAGATAGGTTTTGGACAAAACACCGACAACCAAAACACGAGGAGGGATAGAAAGAAGAGGGACCTTAGGGAAGAGAAACTGATGCGGGGCTTTGTACTCTAACCAACGAGAGGGCATTCGGTTAATGAGGTATGTAGAACAAAGAACAACCTCAAGCCAAAATCGTTTGGGAACATTCACATGAAGTAGTAAACCCTGTGCCACTTCAAGGAGGTGTCGGTTCTTCCGTTCAGCCATACCATTTTGTTGTGGCATGCGGGCACAAGAGCTCCGATGAAGTGAGCCATGTGAAGCAAAGAACTCCGTGAGGTCACTATGAAAAAACTCTTTTGCATTGTCTGACTGAAATATTTGTATCTCGGTCTGAAATTTGGTGAAGATCATTCGCTGAAAATCTTGGATAATTTTTAGTACTTCCTCACGGGTTCGCATTGGGTATACCCAAGTGTATTTGGAATAATCGTCAATGAAAGTAATGAAATACTTGTAGCCACTCTCAGAAGGTAAGGTAACAGGGCCCCACACATCAGAATGCACAATGTGAAAAGGAAACTCAGATTTACTATTTTTTTGAAGGAAATGAGTTCTACAATGTTTGCTTAATTGACATGTTTGACAAGAGAAACCAGAAATAGGCACTGACTTACATAGTTCTAGAAAAACAACTTTCAAGGACTCAAAAGACAAATGACCCAGGCGACAATGCCACAAATACATTTTACTCTTTCTGAACTGACTCATAAACTCTGTAACATGAAGGCCAGCCGTATTCTCCAACATATAGAGTCCATCAACCATACGTCCCCTACCAATCGTCCTCCTCGAGGCCAGATCCTGAATCACATAATAGGAAGGGAAAAATGTCACATAACAGTTTAAGGAATTTATAACACTATTGACTGAGAACAAATTCATAGGRAATTTTGGAACATGAAGAACATCAGAAAGTGTAAGGTCGAGAGGAAGAGAGAGAGTTCCCTGACCAGCTATGGAAGTGTATGATCCATCAGCTAGTCTCACTTTATCTCTTCCGGAAAGAGGGTGATAAGTTTGAAAGGAAGAGGACATACCAGTCATGTGTTTTGACGCTCCAGAATCAATGATGGAGAGTCAAGGTTGTGAGAAGCAACATGGAAAGCTGTGGCAGGATTACCTGATGTGGATGCAAATGAGGTTGTGGGAGGAGCATCCATTTGGCGAATTGTTCTACCATAAAGCTCCAGATGGTCATGAAAGGAGTTTACAATATCCTCCCTTGGGTCAGATCCAGAGTAGCTATGTTGGCCATGTGGTGTTTGAGTCACAGTAGAAGTGGAGGGCTGATTCTCCCGASTAACCATRTTGGCCATGTGGTGTTTCTTGGTACCTTGTTGCCCGGGCCTTTTAATTACATCTAAGCCTTGCTTCTTAGGCAGATCTTGAGCCCATTTTGGTTTCCCAT